GTATTTAGTGCCAACTAGCTCACCCAAAAGAAATAGTAAGAGCATCACATGGTTTGCAGGATGACCAAGGCTTTTCCTCACATGATGCATGAGCAAGAAGCCCGGTGAGCTCTCTGCTCAACACTGAAAAGGCTACCACAGCACATGAAATGTCTCCGTCCTTCCCTCTGGAGGCAAAGAGGAGACTTCAGCAAAAACATGCTGAGCATCCTCAGAAACTTGCCTAGCCCAGGACAGCTCAGCTCCTTTGATAACTAGGGCTCTGGAAAGTGAAAAATTATATGATGCTGATAAATTGACCTGTTCAAAGGGGTTTTTTAACTGAGGGCCTCATCCTGCCATTCCCCAACATCCGACCATCAAAAGTAATTTAACCAGAACTACCAAAAACGGGATGTAGAGATAGATCTGGAGAAGACACAGGCGGGAGAAAATGTACAAGTAGATGACCATTGCATATAAACATATGTGCACCCCATAGGGGAATCATCTGGGTCAGCCCACCGTCACTGATGGCTTCCTGGCAGCAATTTATTTTGGAGCTGGCAGGAGGCTTGGTGCTTTTCAGAACCTCCTTTCCTAAAATATATGAGCCCTGTGGCCATGTACGTGTATATATATATATATATATGTATATATGTATGTATACATATACTGTCCTCAATATTTCACCTCTCAATGAAGTCTAAGGGTAACTGCCCTTGCCCGGCACTAAGGTTCACTGCAAGGCTCCATCACAAACCCTAAAGGACCGTAGCTCAGAGCATCCAGCCCACGCTTTCCCACTTCTGTGGAGGATTTCCTAAGGAAAGGTAAGGCAGGGAGCTGCTGGTCTCCACCGATGAGATGTCCTCATCACCTACCTGCCACACTGGAAGGACTTTCTCTATGTCGTTCAAGTTGATGCCGTCACCGTCCTCGTATTTCCCTTTTCCAAGCCTGTGGCAGAAAGAAAACAAAACCAAAAGCAAGTGAAACCTCGCTGGAACCAAAGTTAATTTTCTACTACGGCACGCGGGAAAGATTAGTTCTTACTGCGAAGGACCCTCATGAAAACAAAGAGGCTCTCTGAAGTGAGTAAGCTGTGCCTCCAAAACACTCCCACGTGGGCGTAAAGCCATTAATACAAAATTAAATGCTTTCCCCAGACCTCTCCACCTGCACCATCCTCCACAGCATTCAAATGCTTTTGGTACTAGTGGCAGTGAGAAACCCAAAGGCAGTGCTGAGCAGTAGTGTTGGGTGATTCAATTCCCAGACCAAGCAAAACCAAAAGCACAGCCTGCATGGAAAAAAAAATAAAAATAAAAATGGGGACACAAAAGTGTAATGAAAAATGTTTCCTCTGAAGCACGGCTCATTTTTTGGTCTCCACAGGAGCTCCTGTTTCCCTGCTGAGAAAGGTGTCGGCGAACAAGCACAAACATACATCTCAGACAGCAAACAGCAATCGATATAAATACAAACACACAATTTGAAATGCAAAAAAATGGGGGTGAGAAGCCAAGCACTGACAAACCAAACACAGAGCTGGCAGTTGAAGGACTCCCTTGTATCAAGAAAGGAAAAAAAAAACCCCAATCCACAGATAATTACTAGCTGGATGCGGAGAGTTTGTAATGATAGAGAAGAAGCAAAAATGGTCAATAAATATCATCCTTCGGCATTTATAAGCAATTGAGGTGATCATTTTTATTATGCAAGAGTGATAATGTATTTTTTGGTCACTTAGTGCCAAGGTATTGTTAAATAACATGTATTAGACAGCAACTTTGACAGCAGCAGACATAGGTAATCAGTGCCTAGAAGTCAGAGAATGAAAGATGTTGGTGGAATTGCAGCAAATGGGGGAAAAAAATCCAGAAAAATGTCACAGGCTAAAGTATCAGGCTCAAAAACCAGCAAGCTGAATGGAAACACTTAATTTAATTAACACTCTTAATTGATTTATGGGAAATCAGAGGTGTTCAACAATTGACTTCTGCTCATAGATGCAATAGTGATTTTGACTTACAAAGGCAAAAAATGTAGTGTGTGCATATATATAAAAAATATACATATTAAAAAAAACCCATTTTTTAATACATATATGAGAAAAACCAAGTCAAACACCTGGGGACAAATAATATCAGTTGCAGGTATGGAACGGGCAAGTGTATCATAGGAAAAGCTTATCTGAAAAGGATGGGGACTGTCCCAGGGTGAACGTCTAATGCTGGGCTGTGGCACAAAGGCAGGGGATGAGGAGGCAGGGATTAAGGGGATGAAGGCAGCTTTCCTCTGCAGCCTGAGCCTGAACTACAGGACCACAGGCAGCTCGGGCAGTCACATTTCAAAGAGGTGGTTGAGGAATTTCTTAAGAGTACAGGAAAAACTAAACTGATACATGGGCTTGGGAGATACCTGGAACGAAGAGAAAATATCAGCTACAAGAAGTTATTTGAGTTGGAAGAGCAAAAGCACAGCAAGAGCTAAAGCTGGAAATTAAAGGCAGACAAATTCAGGTCAGAAATGAGGTACGGTTCCCTGGATTTCCTTAACTGCTCCATGATTATTCATCATAGCCCCAAACTCAGCATCTGCAAATAAAATCAGATGTCTTTCTGGAGGAAAACGCTTCAGCCAAGCAAAAGACACTTGAGCTCAATCATAGAATCACAGAATCACAGAATTGTTTAGGTTGGAAAAGCCCTTTAAGATCATCAAGCCCAACCATTACCCTAACCCTGCCATCCCACCACTAAAACATGTCCCTAATCAACTGGATGCAACTACATGGCCAACCCCGGGGCAAATGATCAAGAATTAAATGGTCTCTTCAGTACTTAATGTGTAGAAAACACATTCCGAAGAGCATCTTTCCCCTTTTTCTATGAAATTTTTCATTGCGTGGCTAGCATGTTAAAAATCTCCACTCAAGCAAGAGGGAAAATGCCCAGCCAGAAGGTGGAGATTCTTGGAGGGTCAGCAAGCTGAATCGCGCTCAGCACAGATTCAGCAAGGACGCACAAGAGACACAGCTTTAAAAAGTTAAAAAATAAAACTGATTTTGGCTGGGCTTCCTCTGTTCTAGTGCAGGTTACTTATACGGCCTGTATTTTGGGAGACGCACCGCTCGTGCTGATGGCATCTGTTTAACTTTCCTGCCGATGCAGTCATTCTTACGCCATTTTTACAGCCGTAATATTCAGGAGTGATTAAATAGCTCATCTCCATACTGCCTTCTCTACCTGTCTGCACCCTGGGCATTGACAATACACCAGGAACCGGAGGCAGACCATAAAGCAGACCCTGCTGCATCCTCCCTATACGTAGCAGGTGGCACTGGTAGCATCATCTGGCAGGTGCCATCAACCAGGGAGCGCTTTATAGCTTATTTTACGGCAGGCCTTTCATCCCATTTCTCAAACCCAGCTGTACAAATGGGAGCAAACATGACTAAGGCACTCAGTGACTTAGAAATCCAGCGGTGTTCCAGGTATTCTGAAAATTGCTGTTTATATACCTGCAGTAAGTACTTACAGCACAGGAAATAGCTTTACACAGTTGTGTGAGTCTCTGCCTGTCACTATATGGTACAGGAGCCTCCTGCAGATATTGAACCCAGGCTGGGATTGCTAGCCCAGCGTTTCTAAACAAGATAGGCCCAGTGAAGCCTATGGCATTGGCCTGTACTCTGTCAAAACCAATTTGTCAGCAGAAAAACTTATTTGAGAGAGGATTCCCATCCCTACGTACATTGTGGCAATGAGAAGTCACCTGCAACCCTCTCAACCCCATCTTTTAGACCCGTTCTGATTTTTTTTCCTTGACCAACTAACAAGCAGAGAGGAATCCAGCACCACCGCGGAAGCCCCTGGAGGCTGTCACCACCAAAAGCAGCTGTTTAATATTTTCACAGCTAGCAGATATTTTATCACTACCAGATACGGGATGAACACTTGGGTCTACACACATCACACTGATAGGAAGGAGTCGAGTCTCCATCCCTGGGGGGATTTAAAAGCTGGGCAGCCGAGGTGCTTAGGGCCAGGGTTTAGTGGTGGGATGGCAGGGTTAGGGGAACGGTTGGGCTGGGGGAGCTTAAAGGGCTTTTCCAATCTAAACGATTCAGTGATTCTAAGCCTTTTCACTTGTGGGAACTGTAACCGGGATCAGCACCAAACCAGGATCTTTCCTCCAATATTCAGAGATGTTTCAATCTAGGAGACTTGGATCCAGGAGACTTGAACTCTACCAAGCAATGCAAAATACAGCGAGCAGCTCTGCTCCAGCGCAGAACCAGCCAGACAGACTGATCGTGGTGTCCTCAAACGTGGTCCAGCACCTCTTCCCCTTGACCTCCACATGAGCCATGCCACCAAGCTAGCGCTCCCTCTGCAAGGGAGAAGTTAGAGACCTTGCTGGAGAGCACGGTATTGCACACAGGGCACTCACCCTTCTCGGTCTATGTGAGGCAGCGGGTGTTTGGAGGTGTTTCGCAGCTTCCTGTGAAATTGGGTGAAATCTAGTTTTTCAGGTTGCAAGTCCCACGTCGCACCACTAGGAGAGAAAAACATGGAAAGACAAAATAAGTCCACTACTAATTAAACACCACCGAGCTGAAGAGCAGAGGGCACATCAGAGCCTGCAGACGAGGAAAGCTGATACTTCTGGAGGCACCGCTCCCTGCTGCAGAGCACATGGATGCAGGCCTCCAACCTTCACGCTGTTCCGTGTTTCTTTTCATTTTTTCTGGGTTTTTTTTGAGATGCTGAGCTCCTGTAGCTTGCGCTAAACCCGTAGTTTTGATGTGCAATGTAGCATGATGCAGCACACACCTTGCTAACTACACTTGCTCTCTGTATCGGGGGGTATCGCAACAGGCAGTGGTCTGTTCCATGCAATGGAGATGTTCTCTCTGGTTCTACACAACCTGCTCGCTTCAATGGCCTGGAGCAAGTCCCAGGTGGGAACTCAACCCCTGCAGACTCTTGCAGTGCTCCAGGCACAGAAAGAGACGCATAAAACTGGACAGAAAGCATATTTCACCACTTCACCCCATGGTGAAGCAGCAGTCAAAGAGCTCTTCTCAGCAGCTGTGAAGCCAACGCATGATCGCACCAATTAATGGAAGAAAAAAGTCCTGGAGCTCAGAGCTCAGAGCTGCCTCAAGTCTTGCCTGTAGAGCTCTTGGATGATTACAAGTAATGATACCAGTATCGGTTTCAGATGTTTGGACTGCAAACCCATCCAGCGGCCTCTCCTAAGCACGTAGGATGCTTTAAGTGGGCTTAATGGGGATGGGGAGGAGGAGGAGCAGCGATGTGGGTACCAGCAGGGTACTCACTTGTGCCTGGGCACCAGCAGGACAGACATATGGGCAAAGGCAAAGAGAGGGCACAGTCCCTCTCTCTCTTAAAGCATTTTAAAACCAGCTTACCTGAAGGAGTCGAAGGTGTTGGCAGCCCAGATGTCCGTGCCCAGCATGTCAAGGGAGCTCTCCTTGTTGCCATTCTAGGAGGGAGGGAAAGGCGGTTACTTGCCGGAAGGCACACGGCGCTATCCGGACCACGGCACAGCCCGGCACAGCCTCTCCCACTGCCAGCTGTGGAGGTGTCCTGGCTCTGTACATGGGCTCCTCCGCTCCCATCTGAATCCACGTTCACTGCAACGCAGAGTCCCCTCGCCCACTGCAAAAGCGCACCAGGGAGGCAAGGAGTGACACAGTTTCAGCCTTGGGGAGACAAAGCTGTGGGCAGCATGGAGTGGACAACACGTAGGCTCAGCTCTGACTCCAGCCCTGTCCTCCCACCCCACCATCCACAACCTCCAAGACCCACCAAGGTCCAGCGGGCAGGCTGACATGCCAGCCATGAAGACACCCAGCTTCAGAGTCGCAGACCAGCTGAGGTGGGAAAGGACCTCTGAAGCTCAGTTGGTCCGACCCTCCTGCTCAAGCAGGGCCACCTACAACCAGGTGCCCAGGACCACATCCAGATGGCTTTTGAACATCTCCAAGGATAGAGATACTCTTCAGCAGCAGCTACCAGAGCCTACTGTCACCAATAAGGATGGGGAAAGCTGTCCTGCTTCTTCAAGGAGTCATGGTGGCATGACTTCTTCTTGCTCTAACAACAGGCAGGGAACATCAGAACCCTATACCGTGCCACCTCTGCCATGAACACCAGCAAATGAGTTCACATGGTTACTATGGTACATGTCCCACCAACGCCAAGGTGACGGGTCCTTCCCCTGAGAAGCAAAAGCATCATGGTATAATCAGGCGGGAATCATGAGAAACCTTCAGCAAACTGCAAAGCCTCTTGAATTTTGCTGTGCAACTGCTTTTGGCAAAACTGGCGACCCGAAGCAAGAGCATCTAAAGCAAAGACCTCACACCCATCCTTCATAGCCCCTCTACAGTCATCAGCCTACATTTGCCCTCCCCACAGAAAGAGGGCTGCCCTCTCCACCCTTTACAGGCGAAGAAGTAAACCAGGTTGGATTTTGCCAGGACCATTCAAAAAATCAGATTTGACTCAAACTTATACAGGATGGACACGTAAATGCATTACAAATAGGGAATCCCCTATTACTGATTTTCCCCCAACATTTCTTACACATATTCAGATTAATTAAATATTTCAGCCCAACTGGTCCCACTCTGGTGAAAGATGGGCTGGAGAAGGTAGCTTCCATATATTCCCCATCCTATAATTTCTGCCATTTTCAAATATTATTAATAACAACCGAGACACTAAAAACTGACCATTTCTTAACAAAGTCCCAGGCTTCAATCTGCCCATAAAGTGAGCAACCTTTTCCCAACGAGCAGGGCGTGCATCCTCGGTGCACACTACAGGTGGTCACACTTCGCAGCCACCCCCAGCACAACGACCAATTCAGACACCAGATACTCCAAATACAGCCACATTCTTTCCTTTTTTGTCTCCTGCCAGGGGTCTATGGATTATGATTTTAACCGCTGGGGATCTGCAGGTCAACATGTCTCTGCACAAACTACCACAAATATATAAAATTCTCATGATCGGTTATGGAAGCAGAGCTTTTTATTTTAGGCAAATGTCAGCAAAATTTTCTCCTACCAAGAAGAGAAATGAGTTTTCTAAATACTTAGAAGCATCCTCATGCAGTATAATGAAAATATATGTGCAGGTCTTTATAGCTACCACCCAAGGAAGAGATACCTCTTCTTGCAGACAGATGCATTTCTCTTTCCATTTCCTAAGGACATGGGATATTTTAAGTACCTGTCAATGAGCCAGCTACAACAGAATTTCCTAAGAGTAAAGTATTTGGGCTCAGGGAAGAAGAACAGGAACACATAACCAGTTGCGATGAAGATGAGACAAATCAGCAACAAAGATATTAAATAGCAAAAATTTAAGACAGAGTGGGTTCCTGATGCAACAGGTTGTGTCCTAAAATTGTTGCCCAAATTCAGCTCGGAACAGGGCTTCTGAAGAGCCCTGAAATAAAGCATCTAGCAATTACCGTCCAATGCTTGGCTTGAGATCTGTTTGGGTGTGGAGGGAGAGCCTTGACATCAACACCTCCTAATCTGCGGTGTAAGAGGAGGCAGCACAAGCTGTCCCACCCAGCTCCCCCCGCGTCTCCTCGGCACATCGGCTCATCGGTGCTCTACCGGTGAGCATAGGCAGGTCAGCCCCGGCGCTAATCCCAGCAATTAGGGGAAACTGCAGCCACGGTTCAGGTGGTGAAGGAGGTCAGATGGGTGCAAGCTTCTAGGTAGCGCGCGGATGCTTCCACCCAAACCGGGCTGCAACTCCTGGTCCTCCTAGACGATGTCCCCATGGCCTCTCGGAGACGCTCCAAGCATTAGGCAGACTCCATAAAGACGGCGCCGGGGCCAAATGATAACGCAACCTGTCGTTAAGTCGTGAGTCACTACAGTCATTTCGAGACATCCTTTTGGCCTTCAGTGACCTGTCTTTATAACCGGTTTCTGTCTCGACTCACAAGGCAGGAGCGCACTTGCTGACCAAGTAAACCTGCGCTGCAGGGTGCTTACTAAAATGCTTACAGCACAGTACCAAGACTTAATAATAAGACTCTAAAAAAGCCAATTCTCAAGTCCAGGGACAAAAAAAAAAAATAAATTGTATGTATTTAAGAAAAGAAGTAACCTGCTGTCAGTTCCCCCAGGATTGCAATTATAAGTGTAAGCAGATTTAACTTGAAGCTCCCAATGACCCAACCCTCAGCTTCAGACAATAATTTTCACCATGAAGAGGTTAGTACTGCTGAAAATTAATTAAGCCACCAGGAATGATGTCTAAGAGACACACTGACGAGAACGACATAAATACCCAGGATGATCAGAGATCCAATAAAGCTGATCCTACACCCAGTACGGTTTAAATGCATGTCCGCAACCTCTGTCCTCCAGCCCCTGTGAGCACACATCATCTCCATCCACCGTCGCCCAACCCCTGTGGCTGCCCACAAAAACAGAGGGACGGACCATGCCACCGGCTGCGTGGACTCTGACTGTTTACCCATGCATGCAGCTTCAGCAAATTCCCCACAAAGTCAGCATTTGCATGCACACAGCAGCTTTTCAAAGCCCAGCTCAGCGTCCCACCGGTTCCTCTCGCCGCTCCTCATTACCATTCTCCAGCAAATCACTACAAATACAAAATCATGCTCTTCATCACACGACTGCAACGGCGTTAGCTCATCGCTGTGCTTAGCGTTAATGTAGAACAGCCAAGTGGTCGGCTGAGTCTGTGGTATAAATTTAGGGATTATCCTGTGTCATGTGTTACTTCTTAAGTGTTTTCCAGTTCCACCTTTGAGAAGATTCCCCCACCTTCCCTCCTTCTCAGCTGCCTACAACCCCTGGCTGCACTTTGGCAGAAAACAAAAAAGATAGATACTGAACTGTCTGAAAAGGCTCTGATTAAGGGTTTTCTTGTCGAAAACTGCAAGTTTTCATAAGAAAAACATAGGCATTTTGAGGAAGACATTATTAAAGAAAAAGGGATGTGTTGAGTCTTGCTCCTGCCAGAAAGGACCATCACTTTCCAGCAACAACACGGTTCTGCAGGTCCTCTCCCACCACAGCATGACTCAGGAAGACAGCCTATATCCTCAAGCTCTCCAGGATGGATAAGATGGATGAATGGACCAGGACTTTGACCACTGGCCCCAAATATCCCAGAGGCCGTCCTCCACTTCTGGCACAACGAATGCTCACGTGTGTAGAAGTAGAGCAACTCCAAGAGGAAAGAGGAGGACAGAGGCTGACTGAAACACACAGAAGAGGTCCCTGGTCTGAGTTGAAGGAATGGACCTAAAAACAAATCAAAGGCAAATTCTTAAAGTCTTTTGCAGGGCAGGAAGGTAACTCCCCATATAGCCCTGTTGATTGCTCCTATGGAAAGCTGCTGGTCTCAAGGTCATCATTTAACACCATCTACATGTTGTCCACTCATATAGCAACTTCTAATGAAGACTTGCCAAAAAATAATTACAGACATCTCTTGATTTTCCAAAATTAAAATACTCCGAGACTTCAAATAAAGAAAAAAACCTAATTTCCTTTGCACTAAGCTAGCTTTCCCAGTATTGAGCACTCGGCACACCTCAACAGGCATCTTAAGGCTGAAGAACAGCCACAGCCCTCAGCAGCCAGGTCACACATTATGCAGGAATTAAGCAGGTCTCAGAGGTGTCCTTCGTAACAGACATGCACTCACACCCTACGTGTAGGCACACACACAAAACACGTTGTTAGGAGGCTGCCTCTGATAAACGGCAAGCAAAGGACATGACGTCAGCTCATCGCCACCAGGTATACCTTGGTCAATTGCCTGAACTGGCTGCTTCTCCCGTGGCTGCCAGACCTGGATCCAGACCCACGCCTGGAGCCTGACCCTGACCGGGATCCTGCGTTCCCACTGCTGCTGTGATCCCACTCTTCCTGGAAACAACAAACAACTTGCTTTAGTCACAGGCAACGCCATCCCGCACCCACAAAAAACACTGACCTGGTGAGCCAGGAGAGCTCCAGCTCCCAGACCAAACGTGCAAGCACCTACAAAACCATGCCCATGCATGGGGCCTTCTTGGAGTCCTTTAACATGTTCTATTTGCAGACTGCAAAGGGATGACATTGTGGGAAGCTTCAGTGAAGAGATTTGGCTCTAGTGCTCTAGCTCATGCATGGGAAAAAAATAATACTTATCTCTTCTATCTTCATGAGGATTAATTATGCATATTCAGCAACGCCACATCCTCTAAAACTGCTTATATATCCTTAATTCCCCTCCCAAGCCCAAATCAACTTCTCAAGCCAGTTTTTCCCTCTGCTCAGTTCACCATTGGCATCCAGCTACTCATATACCTGCAAACGCTTGGGAGTTCACCAGAAGACATATTACACAAACAACTACTTTTGCCTATTAAGGAGCTGTCCCCAATGTTCTCCTTTATTCTCCTAACACTTGTTCTGCTGTCAAGCAACCTGCAGGTTTCTTGTTCG